CGGATGTGCGCGTGGACCAATGAACGCTGCAGTTGCAACGGCGGCTGCCAATCGGCACGGTGGGGGCGGGGCCGGGCGCCCGAGCCTGGTTCCCGAGGCGCGACGGCTGCGTCTGGGCGCGGGGCAGCCTCTGCCCCTTTAAGAACGCCCGGAGGATACAAGCAGGAAGGGGGCGGTGCCTGAGCTGGAGACGGATGTGCGCGTGGGCCAATGAACGCTGCAGTTGCAACGGCAGCTGCCAATCGGCACGGTGGGGGCGGGGCCGGGCGCCCGAGCCTGGTTCCCGAGGCGCGACGGCTGCGTCTGGGGGCGGGGAGGGGGCTGTGCCGGCCGGGGGCGCTGCTCGGGCCTAGGCCGGTCCGGGGGCCGGCGCTGCCGGGCTGCGACCGATGGGCGGGGCGAAGGGCCGCGGGGGAAGCGAGCCGGGGGGCGCGGGGGGTCGAAGTGCCCAAGGGGGCGCGGCCCGGTGGAGGCGGCGGGGATGGGAGCCTTGGGGGGCCGAAGGGTGCTAGGGGGTTGTTGCTGGTAGAGACGTGCAGGGCCGGGGGCGCTCGAGGGGTGCGGGGGGTAGGGGCCCTTGACTGGTGGCGTCAAACAGACGTGGGACTTTGGGTGCTTGGGTTGGGGGATTGACGGAGGGCCAGGGTCAGGCCCAGGCCGGGGATGTTTGGAGAGCGTAGGGTGTTACGGGATCGGGAGGGGGGCGTCCGACATTGGGGTGTTTACCCCGCGACAGAGCGGCTGTGGGGGCAGCTGGCCCATGCTGGGGGTGGTGGTTGGGGGAGGGGGTATGGCGATTTGTGCGGGCGCAGGGGATTATGGGGGTGGGGGCTAGGTGGGTCTCAGAAAAAGGGGCCCGATCCCGGAAGGAGCAGGCAAGTGAGGGTTAGGGAGGAGATGGGGGATGCTGTGTGTGTTAGAATGACGGCTCTACTTACCTCCTCCCCCACCCCCGCTTTCCCAAGCTTGGGGTCTGGGAGAGTGCGGGGCGGGGGAGGCAGTCCTTGATGACCCAAGGAAGAGGCTGTAGAATGCGGTGGGAATATCCACCACTCCTGTAAAGAAGGCTATTTTGGTAGGGTGGTCAGGAAACCCGAGGAGAGGATAAAGGGCTCCCAGAGAAAGGTTTGGGCCAGGATTACTGGTATGGTGAGGGGATGGGTCCGTGGGGGGCGGGGGGGGGGCGGGGGTTTAGGTTCAGCGTATAGAAGGAAAAGGCTTGGGGTTTCTGGGTGGTGGGAAGTTAGCAGGGGACTCTCCTTAGGGGAAGGGGCAGCTGGAGGTGGGGAGCTCTGGTAAAGACTTAACTCTCCTCTTAAGCTCTAAAAATAGCCCCTCAACACCTTACGGACTGTCCCCCTGAAAAAAACTGCAGCACCTCCTCTGGGAATTTAATCAGATAAAGCCCTGGGTTCAAATCCTGCCCGAGTTATCTTGCTCTGTGACCTTGGGCAAATGGCTTTGCCCCTCTGGGCCTCAATTTCCTTTTCTGCAAAATATGGGAGGGATGTTTCCTACTTCCTGGGGTGTTTATAAAGATTAAATATTAGCTTAATAATAGCTAGCACTGTTTGAGCCTGATGCCCTGGGCTTGATCCTCAGGTCCTTAAATCCTCTGGACAAGCCAGGGTTGTTGCTCTACTCACTGTACAGATGAGGAAACTGAGGCCTGGAGCCCCTGAATCACATAGCAAATGATCCACTGCACAGAGAGCAGATACACAGAAGGATTTGAGGGGTTGGGTGTGGTTTTTACAAACCCAATCCATTTCCCCCACCAGGGCCAGTTCCCGTCCCCCCAGCAGCATGGCATCCTGTGCTGAGCCCTCTGCCTCAGGCCCTGAGCCTGCCACCCTTCCACCTGCTGGGGTCCCACCACTTGAGGACTTCGAAGTGCTGGATGGGGTAGAAGACGCAGAGGGTGAGGAGGAAGAAGAGGAGGAGGAAGAGGAGGAGGAGGAGGAGGAGGACCTGAGTGAGCTGCCGCCACTCGAGGATGTGGGGCAGCCCTCACTGGAGGAGACCGAGCAGCCGGGGGCCCTGGCACGAGAGTTCCTGGCTGCCATGGAGCCTGAGCCCGAGCCTGCCCCGGCCCCGGACGAGTGGCTGGATATCCTGGGTAAGGAGCAGGGGTGGCTCGGGTTGACCCACAGGACTTGGACAACTCCAGTTCTGGAGTGACCTTGGCCCAGGCCTTCTCCCCTGAGCCTCATTTCCCCATCTCTGACGTGAAATAGGTTGGAAGTAAAACATGTAGTAACCACGGTGATTGCCAGCCACAGGCAACTGCTTGAGACATTTCATGTGTATGAACCTCTTTCATTGTCACATACACAGAGCAGCTCAGAGAGGCTGAGTCACCCGTCCAGGGCTACACAGCCAGCACACCAGGCACTGGCAGCTCCCAACCTCCACTGCTTCTTTTCTCGGCATTTGTCTAACAGGTACCCATCCCCTGGAAAATGTATCCTGAGTTCATATAAGTCTGGGGAACATCCTAATTTGTTCATTCTTCTGTCTGGCTCACAGTATTCATTAGTGTTCTAATTGCTCAGAGAAGTCCTGCAGGAAAGAAACTTGGAGAACCCACACATGTGTCCCCACTATGAACCCCACATCACAGCAACTCTGGAAACTAGAGAAACATATTGCTACTAGTACTGATATCTAACATGCCAAATAATGCTAGTGTCCACATGAATAATAGTAAAACGTCATCATTACTACCACTACTACCGTTTTTGCTGACACTAAAGCGATAGTATCCAATAATACTGATTCTGATAAACCAGCAGTTATTAGTGTCACTTCTGCTAATAAAAATGTTACTACTACTAAAAATAGCACCAGGTAATATTGACTGCCCACTGGTTCTGTGCCAGGCTTATGCACCATCTTCCTTTATCCTCACAACAACCCCGTGATATAATTCCTACTGTACTCCTATTTTACAGATGGGGAAACAGGCTCAGAGAGGTGAGGGCACTTGCCCAAGGTCACACAGCCTCCTTGACTATACTAGAGTCTGGGAAGCTTTTCTCTGTTGATACTAGGAACTGCCCTGCTCCACATCTGAGCAGGAGGCTGGCTTTGTCTGTTTATATTCAGAGCCAGCCGCGTTCTGAGGTCAGAATTCAGGCTTCTAGACAAGGAAATTGAAGCCTTGAGAGGGGATGTGATTTGTCCAGAGATACCCCCATGAGAGGCAGTGCCTCGTTGTGACTCTGACAGCACATCCACCATTAGTGCCCTGAAACCTCAAGACACAGGGTACTCTGGATCCATTAGATCAATGGTTCTCAGGCTGGTTGTGGGGATGTGTACAAGTTTGGGAGCAGCACAGAAATTTGGAACATTCTGGAATATTCCAGAATATGAATAGATACTTCCCTATCCCTAATCTTTAGACTAGGGTCCACTCAGACTTATGGTATATTCCAGACCAGTGGAATACTATGGACTCCTGGGACTCTGAGGCCCAGAGGTATGAGGTCACCTGCCCAGTAAGTGGCAGAGCAGCCGTTTGAGGCTCAGCTTGTGCCCTGGTGCTGGGCTACCCCCAGGATGTAGAGCTGGTGGGGTAGGGGTTTAAGGGAAGGGGCTCAGGGAGCAGGTGCCCATCTGAGGCACTCGGTGACAGGTTTCTTGTTCCTGGTTCCTGGCAGGGAATGGGATGTTGAGGAAGAAGACACTGGTCCCAGGCCCACCTGGCTCAAGCCGCCCAGCCAAGGGCCAGGTGGTCACAGTGCAGCTGCAGACATCACTGGAGAACGGCACACGGGTGCAGGAGGAGCCAGAGCTGGTGTTCACCTTGGGTGACTGCGACGTCATCCAGGTTGGAGTGGGTTGGGGGCGGGGCAGGGTGGGGTGGAGGCCTGATGGAGAGAGGTGTGTGGTGATGGCTGGGTGGGCTGGGTGAGGGCGCTGTACCTGAATCCACCTGACTGTCATGACCCCGCACACCCAGGCCCTGGATCTCAGTGTCCCCCTCATGGACGTGGGGGAGACGGCTATGGTCACTGCTGACTCCAAGTACTGCTATGGCCCCCAAGGCAGGTAAGAACCTGCAACCAGTGGGCATTATTGCCCTGTTGGGGTGGGGAGGAGGTAGATACATAACTCTCCAAGTCACATAGCTCGAAGGTGGCAAGAGTCACTTTTCTTGCATTTTACCGAGGAGCAGGTGACAGTGGGCCAGCTCCAGGACTTGAGCCCTTTTCCGCCTGCTCCTGAGCCTGTCTAGTGTATATGGGGTCCTGTCATGGCTGCCAGGTTTGAGTGCTCCCCCCGCCAACCCCTCAGCAGGAGCCCGTATATTCCCCCTCATGCGGCACTGTGCCTGGAGGTGACCCTGAAGACAGCTGTGGACGGGCCTGACTTGGAGATGCTCACAGGGCAGGAACGTGTGGCGCTGGCCAACAGGAAGCGGGAGTGTGGCAATGCCCACTACCAACGGGCTGACTTCGTGCTGGCTGCCAACTCCTATGACCTCGCCATCAAGGCCATCACCTCCAGCGCCAAAGGTGACCTCCCTGTCAAATCCCCCCACCTACCCTGCAAAGGTGTCTGTTAGTGCCAGAAACCTCAAGCCACAAAAGGCCTAGACTCAGAATGTTCTAGAATATTGCAGAATATGGGTAGATGTTCAGCCGTCCCTAACCTTGAGGCTAGGGTCTACTCCAGCCCTGCGGTAGATTCCAGATCAATGGGATGTTACAGAATACACATAGATGTGGGGGCGCAGTGACTGCAGATGGTGTCACTCCACGTGCCTGTGGTTAAGTTTCTGCTTTACTTAGGCTGTCTTGTAGACTCCTTGGGAATTTCTTGAGGACAGTGTGGTCTTGGCCTGTGTTAGAAATAGGGAAACTGAGGCCAGAGAGGTCTGAGGTCCCCTGAGCAGCAGCAGCCCCCGCCTCCCTTAGCCAGAATACTCCATTAGAGACACCTCCCCAGGCTCCTCTTCTACCAGGTGCAGAGGGATGGGCCTTGGCCTGGGTGACGTAGTGGGCGGGCAGTTGTGGGGTGCTGGTGGCATGGAAACTGCTGCTGAGGTTGAACACTGTCCCCCACAGTGGACATGACATTTGAGGAGGAGGAGCAGCTCCTGCAGCTGAAGGTGAAGTGTCTGAATAACCTGGCGGCCTCACAGCTGAAGCTGGACCACTACCGGGCTGCGCTGCGCTCCTGTAGCCTTGTGCTCGAGCACCAGCCTGACAACATCAAGGCGCTCTTCCGCAAGGGCAAGGTGGGCCTTGGCCAGGGGCGGGCAGGCCACGCATGGGTGGCCAGGCTGGCACCCCTAGCCCAGAGCAGTGGGACTGGTCCTGAACCCAGGATTTGAAAAGGGCATAGGCGTCAGCCAACTAAGCTCTCGGGGGTATAGATGGGGAAATTGAGGCCCAGACAAGTTCAGAGATGTGACTTGAGTCACAGCAATTCATTAACTGAGGCCAGATGTGAACCCCAAGCCTTAGGTTCCCACGCACTGCCCTGTGGCCCAATGGTGACTGCTCCTTACATATAATCCTTCATGGCTGTTATCTCCCGCAGAACAAAAGTTGAGTCTTTATTGCAGCCCTTGGGGCTTTGAGCCATCTGATCTTCTTCCTCCTGCCATCACCTTTTACCTTACCTCTTGCTTCTCCATCATGCCCAGCCTCCTCACTGCTTGCTGTCCAGGTCAGATCTCTCCCACCCTGGTGCCTTTGCATAGGGTATACTTTCTGCCTGAGACATTGATACCCCAGGTATTCCCATAGGTTCTTTCCCCGCCTTCTTTAGGTCTTTGATGTCTCCTTGAGAAGCCCTTCCTGCTGCTCCCACCCTGACCCCTGCCTTGTTTATATTTCCCATGTCATCACCATCACATGGAAGTATTAAGCCTCTTGTCTATCTACTCTGCTGGGTGGTGGGGATTTTGTCTGTCTTACTCACTGCTAAATCTCTTAACCCTGCAAAGAGGGACACACACGCAGTAGGTGCTCAGTAAGTGCTGGTGAAACATACGGGAGAATTTGTCCTGCATGGACTTGACCTTCATTGCTTTTGCCCACATCTGTTTATTCTCACAGCAACCCTGGATGGGGTGGAATGGGGAGACTCTCAGTACGTTTTAGCAGTAAACTGAGAAAACTGAGGTGCAAGTAGGTGCTGGGTCACCTAGTGTGTTTGTAAGAGGCTTGAGTAGGGCCTCGCTCTAGCCAGCATTTTTAAAGCACTTGCTGTGTATAAAGTTCTGCATAGAAATGTGGGGAGGAAGACAATGCCATCCCTATTTTTCAAGGGTTTGTAATCCTTTTGGGGGCTGTGGGACTGCCTGCTTGTGTAGCTCACACATGTTTAGATCTGCTGCTTGAAGGTCACAGAAACCCACTCAAACAGATTCAAGCAAAAGGAGGGATTGATGGTTTGTGGCACTGTCAAGTCCTGGGTTTCTGGTTTCAGGCAGGGCTGGATCCAGGCATTAGCAATGTTGTGGGAATGCTGTGTCTGTCTGCTGTTGGTCTCTCTCTCTCTCTCAGGCAGGCTCCTCTCTTGGGAGTGACCAAGATGTTCTCCCCTGCCCCTGAAAAGCTCCAGGCTTCCATCCTCCCCCATTAGCAACTGGTCCCCCCATGGCACCAGCATATTTCAGGCTGTATCTCATTGGTTTGCTTGAGACACATGCTAACTCTGAGTTATTCACTGTGACCAGAGCTTTGGAAATATCCAGTTAAGGTGGCGAGGGAGGAGGAGGTGAGTTGGGCATCCAGATCTCCTGCACAGGCTGAGACAGACACTCAGGGAAGGAAGAGCAGATTGGGGGGACAACACTGAACCCAGTGAGGTGCTCATGGAGTTTGAGGGCTGAGGAGAGCATCATGGGGTGGCTGAACCCCTGGAACTATTGCTTGAGATATATTTGGGACTCTCAGGGTGGCTAGGAGCCTGGCAGGAGTGGGTTTTATGAAAGCATGGCCCAATATGGGTCCAGAGTGATGCCATATACTTCCTCCCATAGGTACTGGCCCAGCAAGGCGAGTACAGTGAGGCCATCCCCATCCTGAGGGCGGCCCTGAAGCTAGAACCTTCCAACAAGGTGAGCGGAACTGGGGTACCCTGGGGACTTGCCCTACTGGCCTGTTTGGGAAGTCCCTTCTATCATTTGCTCCTTGTCTCTCTTGTGGCTTTCCCTGTGGTGTTTCTACCTGAGCAATGTCAGGGGGTGGGTGGCTGACGGGTCCCAGCCAGCTTGCTGAGATACTCATGATCCCTGCATCGGTGGTCTGAGCTCACCCCCAACCAGTGGTCCCAGAAGCCAAGGGCACCACCAACTTGGCCAGTGCCAGTATCCTCAGTTTTCTTCCTAGAACCTTCCTCTCTTGGCCATCTTGTGCTCTACCCCATCCACAGTCTCCCTAGAGGGATGGAGATGGCAGCCCCCACTTTGCTGATGCCCAGAGAGGGGCAGAGAGAATCCCCGTGTCCCAGTGCTTTCAGCCCCAAAGTGACCCAGGGCGCCAGAAAGGCAGAGCACCAGCGATGGCAGGTCATGTTGGCTGCTGCTCTTAGCCCAAATGCTGCCCACCTCTCCCAGACGATCCATGCAGAGCTCTCGAAGCTGGTGAAGAAGCATGCGGCCCAGCGGAGCACGGAGACTGCCCTGTACCGGAAAATGCTGGGCAACCCCAGCCGGCTACCTGCCAAGTGTCCTGGCAAGGGTGCCTGGGTGAGCTGGGGCTGGTGGGCAGGGAGGTTCCCGGAGGAGGGGCCTGTGTAAACTGTGTTGGTATCTGAGGCCCAAGACATCAGTCTTGATTGCCCTCCAGTCTCCTCCCCTTCTCCCTTTATCCACAGTCCATACCATGGAAGTGGCTGTTTGGGGCGACTGCTGTTGCCCTGGGGGGCGTGGCTCTCTCTGTGGTCATCGCTGCCAGGAACTGATCACCCAGGTGGCCGCCACCCCTTCTGAGCACCATGGACCCCACCCTGAGCTCCCTAACTTTCCTAGGCCCCTTGTCCACTGCCCTCTCTGGCCTAGCCCCCTCCTGTGGGGCGGGGACAGCGAGGTTTAGGGGTCACATGGCCCAGTGAGCAGGAGGGACTGAGGCCCTATAGGAGGAAAGTGAGGCAGGGCCTGGGCCCCACATCCAGCCTGAAGGGAGGGGGCCCTCATTCCTCCAGACCCAATTCCCACCCCCATCTCCCTGGGTTAGGTCTCAACAGGGGCCAGCCTCAGTTTCTCCTGCCCAACAGGCCTGGGGGCAGCTCTTACCCCATCCATTCCCTGTCCAAGTGCCAACCCCTCCTGCCCAGCCTGCTGCACCTCTGTCCAGGCTCTCTCCCCCCGCTCCTCCCTCCCAAGTGAAATAAAGCCTCCCACCCCGCATTCTGCTGGCTCCGGAGTCTTCTTTCACCGCCACTTGGGGCTAGGCTGGAGCAGAGGGCAGGGTGGGGTGTCTCCACTTGGGCTGCAGCAGACCCTGGTTACAAAGAGGGAAACAGCCCTGGACAAGTGGGGTGATGTGCCCTGCTCACTCAGCTGTGAACTCTTAAGGAGTTCACACTCCTTAAGAGTTGGGGTAACTACCTGTTACCCCAGCCTCTCTTGTTTCTGTTTTCTGAAAATGGGGACCCTGATGGGGCCTAATTGGGGGCTTCGCTGAGACCAACAATTGCAGGGGTCTGGCTATGCAGTTAGCTGACAGCCCCATGTCTGGGCAGCAGCAGTATAGCCAGTGCAAAGGCTAGAGCTCCTGCAGTGAGTTTGCAAGGTGGAGGATGTGCGGAGGGGCCACCCCAAGGTGATGAACTAGCTTACAATTTCTTAGGTGACCTAGTTCTTAGAGACTTTTGAAAAGAGCATGTCAATGCCTGGTGATTCTTCCTTTATTGTTCCTGGGGTCCTGTTGGGAGCCACTTGGACGTTGAGTATAAAGTGGACAAATACTTGTTACCAAGCAGTGAAGCCCATGGTTGCAGTGTTTCTGATTCTCTTAACTTCTCAAGCCTCAGTTTCGTCATCTGGCAGATGAGTCCAAACCACTGTATCCACCGTGGGTGGCAGGCACTGAGCAGTTCATGGTTGGAGGGGAAGGGCATGTAAATAGATGGTAGTGCTGACCTGACAGTGGTGGGACAGAACTAATGAGATTACCTGGGCAGAGACATAGAAAGTCCCTGAACTTCACCTTCCTCTCATCCATCAAAATTCATCCTATGACCACAGTCTGTAATTAGATTAAAGGGAGAAAGAAAATGACTTAAGAACTTTCCACAGGTCAGGAGGCCCACGAGTCCAGGAGGATCTTGCCTGGGCAAGCCAGCAGTGTTCTTCCACCTCAGTTCCCCACCTGTACAATGAGAGCTTGATAAAATGGCATAATTTCTGTGGAAAACAGCCTGGCAGTTCCTTGAAAGGTTAAACATAGAATTACCATATAACCTAGCAATTTCACTCCTAGGTATAGACCCAAGAGAAGGGAAAACATCCATCCACACAAAAACTTGTACATGAATGTTCACACCAGCTCTATTCATAATAGTGAAAAAGTGGAAACAACCTAAATGTCCATCAATGGATGATAAACAAAATATGGTCAGTCCATACAATGGAATATTACTCGGCCATAAAAAGGAATTAAGCACTAACATGCTACAATGTGAATGAACCTTGAAAACATGTTGAGTGAAAGAAGCCAGACACACAAGATCACGTGTTGTATGATTCCATTGATAGTGAAATGTCTAGAATTAGCAAATCCATAGGCACAGAAAGTAGGTTAGTGATTGCCAGGGGCAGCAGAAAGAGGAGTAGGGTTTCCTCTTGTGGTGATAAAAATGTGGAACTAGATAGTGGCTTCATAGCATTGTGAATGTATTACCGTATTTCCCCATGTATGAGACGCACCCTTTTTTGAAAAATTTGGGGTCTAAAAATGGCGCGTCTTATACAGTGGTTGTAGATTTTTTTACTTGCATTTCCCACTTTTTCGCGCTTGTCTTTGTGCTCATTGTTTCGCACTTGTTACCGGTATATTAGGTTACATTTTGCCATGTTCTGCCCAGAAATAGCTCAAAAGATTTCTGTACAGTGCTGAATTCAAGTTAAAAGTGATTTAGTTTGCAAAAGTGAATGGAAATCGTGCAGCTGAACATAAGTTTGGTCCTCCTCCAACTGAGAAAACAATCCAAGACTGGCTATGGTTGGGGGTTTTGACAGTAATGAGGAGTTGTATGAATTTTATGATGAATAAAACTTGAGTTCAGGGCCGGCCGAGTGGCACGTTGGTTAAGAATTGGCTTGGGACGCCAGTTCTGAGCAGCAGGGCCCCGGTTCGGATCCCACATGAGGGCCAGTGACACTGCCCTCTACAGCTAAGATGGTGAATAACAGTTCGACCTGGAGCTGGGCTGCCGTGAGTCGCTGGCGATGGCATAGGCTGCAGCCCCTGCTGCAGTGGGCTGCCATAAGCTACCGTGTGTGGCCCGGCAGCCAGCGTGAGCGGCTGGTAGCTGGTATGAGCTGCCAAGAGCCGCTGTGAGCGGCAGTCCAGAGGCCTGCGACCGATCTGCCTCACCTGGGAAGAGCGCAATGATAATACCAACATGGGCCAGTGAAGCGACGTCCTCCACAACTAGACTGAAGAACAAAAGGACAGCAACTTGTCTGTTCCCCTCCCCCAATTCCCCAATAAAATCTTAAAAAACAACCAAAAACTTGAGTTCAATAATTTTATGTGATACATTTTTTTCAAATTTCGGGCCCCAAAATTAAGATGCATCTTACACATGGGAGCGTGTTATACATGGGGAAATAAGGTAAATGCCACTTAATTTTACACTAAACAGGTTAATTTTACAACATAAAAAAAATTTTTTTAATGGGGGATCCGGACAACCACCATCCCTCAGTGCCCATGGTGATGTAGGATTTTATTCTGTTAAAAGTCAACTCTTATAAACAAAGGTAATCTGCCCCTCAATCCTCTAAAAACCCCAGATGGGGAGAATCACATCTGCCCACCAGTCCAACCCAGCGTCCAATGCGCATGTTTGCATAACCACGCCCACTCACCCGAACAGCGTCTCGGCTGTACTCCACGTGTTTTGCGTTGGCCAGGCCCCTCCACGCCCACACTGCGGCTCTTAACTGAAGCCAAAGGCTGAAGGCTTGGTGAGACCTCATAAATAATACATCACATCAGCGCCCGGTGGGGCGGGACTTCGATACGCCTGGCTGCGTCAGGCTCATGAATAATACCTACATGGGCGGGGGCCTGGAGGGGTGCGCGTGTCGGGGCGGAGTCCGGGAAGCGGAAGTCCAGGATTGGCTTGAATATGCGGGATGCCCAGGCGGTGACTGAGAGCCCGCCCGGCCCGCAGGGGGCGTGCAGGGGGCGTGACTAGGCACGTATTATGAATAATGCAGCACGTCGGCAGGTCCTATGGTGTCAACTGGGCGTCGTAGGATCCGGAGAGGTTGTGGCCAGCCGCGTCTCATAAATAATGCAGCACGTCGGCGGGCCGTGCGACGTTGACTGGAGGCCTCTCGGGAGGGGGCGTGGCCAGCAGTCATGAATAATGAAGCACGTCAGCGGGCGGCGGGGTGGGGCGTGGCCGGCGCGCTGGCCCTGGAGCCAGGAAGGGGGGGCGGGGAGCGATGGTCGCAAGATGGCGGCGCTGAAGGAGGGTCGGAGCTACGGGCTGTCCTGCGGGAGGGTGAGCGACGGCAGCAAAGTGTCTGTGTTCCACGTGAAGCTCACCGACAGTGCTCTGAGAGCCTTTGAGAGCTATCGCGCCAGCCAGGTAAGTAGCGTGGACCCGGAGCGCGATCAGGGACGTCTGGGAGCAGGCCGGCCTCGCGCGCCCCTCGCCTGGCGTCCTGGCCTGGGGGCGCGGGGTCTAGCGTCCGGGATGCTCGCGGGTCCCTGAGCCGGCGGGGCACCACGTTCATTATCGGCGCTGGGAGGTGACACTGGCGTGTGGCCCGGGGCTCGAACTCGCGCGCTTGGTCCGGGGGTCGTCTGGGGCCTTTCCCGGCCCACTCGGCACTTGGGCAGGAACTCGTCTGCTCTGTTCTCCTGGTCGGGGGCAGGGGATTGGGGGACTTGGGGCTTCTCCGCCTGGTTACCTGGCAGGGTGGGTCAGTGGGGCACCGCTGACGGGGTACCTGTGAGGTCCTGTTCCGTTTGTGTATGGGGGAGCGGTGTTTGACTTTTTCCAATGAGGACCCTGGAGTTGGATTTAGTCTTGGTTCTTAGCAAGGGGAGTTTGTCACCTCCCCCCCAGGTGACCCTGTCTCATTGGACACTTTAGGAGAGTGGGGGTGTTTTGGGGAAAAGAAGCTGTGCATGTAAGGGGGTCGCTGGCATGGTGCCTTTCCCAGGCTAGGAGCCAATGGTGGGCAACTTGGGAGGGAGCTCTGACTACTGCACCTGGATGCAGACTCTCAAACTTCTCAGGGGCCGATTTGGGCCCATCTAGGGAAGCTCAAGGCTTTCAGTTCTGCCACCTGGCCCCGGGCAGGGGATGGGGAAGAGGCTGTTTTGCACCTTCTTTGAGTCCTGATTTTGGGGCACATCTGGGGCCGTTGTCAAAAAATCTGCTTCTTCCCATTTCTGTTTGTGTCATGGCGCCCTCCGTCTGTGTTGGGACAGAAGTTGCAGGTGCCCAGTGGTAAGGTCCTGAGGGGAGGTGGTTTGGGATCTCTTTTTCTCCTTGCCTGGGAAGTGAGGGCTTCATAGTTAGAGGTGGCTGGGGAGGTCGCACTCTGTGTTTGTGTGTGTGTATACCAGGGATGGGGGCGCCTCTGGCGGGTGAGGAGAGAGACTAACTAGGAAGGAATGTGGCTTTCTTCCTGCCCCAGACTTGTTCAACACCATTAGCTAAGCTGGGAATTTCTTCCCCGTTCATTTCCACCACTTCCCCGGTGCCCACCCTTCCCAAGTTTCTTTCCACTTTTTTGGGCAATTTCCTTCTTGTTCTGGTGTCTCAGTTTCTCCGTAATAGCAAGGGACTTCATCTTTTCTAGAAGAGCAAGTTCTCACCTTGTCAGAAGGATTCCCTAATATGAGGCTAAGGCACCGCTTCCTGAAGGGGAGTAGGTTGGGGCACAGTGGCTGGCTTGAGCCTCCCTTCCTTGTGTAATTCTGTCCCTTAGTCTTTTTCTCATGGAGATTCTAACTTGTCCTGCAGGAAGGCAGATTTTCTTAGAGACAGCTGGGGGAGAGCTCATGAGTCATGTAAATAAGGTGAACTTGATACCTGGTCACTGTGAGTTAGGAGCTCCGCCTTCCCTGCCTTGCTGCCCTCACTTGATCCAGTCGTCCGGAAGGCCCGCCTGTGCGTCCACCTCATGCTGTCACGCTGCTATTTTTAATTTAGGGTGTTGGTTACATCCCCAAACTAAGCTAGATCTTCCTTGTGTGAGGGTGAAGGTAACTGCAGACTCAGGCTGGTCCCAAGGTGAGCCCTGTTGTGTAGGTTGCTGTTGGTCACACACGAGGAGTGGCTCCCTTGAAGAATTTCTCCAAGCCATCCAGACCAACTTGGCTGGCTGGGCTAAAATTTGGGGTGACCCAAAGTTGTGTTTTTCTCAGAAGCTGTCTGGTAATTTAAGTGACTTGGCAATTTTTGTATTTAACCATACCCGTTGGGCAGTGTAGTGGATTGGGCTGATACAAGGGCAGCTCGGGTGTGCTTGGTACTTTTGGGTGCTGGGCATGGGGAAGGCAACTTGTAGAACTCATTTGTGTGACCAGAGCAGAGTATTGGTCATTAACAAACCTCAGGTGCAAAAAGTGCTGTCAATAGCATCTAGCGTTTTCTTTTTTCTCGCACTGCGGTTATATGGTTTGCCAATGGCAACTTGGGGAGAGGCTTTTTATTTTTACTTTAATTGGGAAAAGGCTTGTATGGATTCAGATGTGGTAGAGGACTGGAGAGGAGCTTCCTGTCATCCTAGCTATTGGAGCAACTCCCATAGAAGTCCCCAGGGTTTCTCTCTCCAGAGGGACCTAAAATCTGAGCTGACTTTGTGCAGAACTGGTGGCCTGCCTGGAATGTGGTGGAAGGTGAAGGTGTGGTAATACATGCAGTTGCCAGCTGTCCAGACTTGGGCTCTGTGCAGTTTTTCCTTGAATATAAAAACTCTAGCGAGTCCTGAGGGAGTCCTGTGGATCTCCTTTTTTTGCTGGGTTACTTCGGGAGAGAAGACATAACCCATCCTTCCAAGATAGCCTCACTTGTCTGCTCAGAGAAATACCCCTCGACCCTCCCAGGGGCACCTGCCTTGACCACATGGGTGTTTCATCATTGGATTTGATGAGCTCTGTTGCTGGGTGACCTTTTCCTCTCCTGGGTTATAAACTCCTTGGTGGAGAGGAGAATATTGTTGTTCATAAAGAATTGAGGGCCCAGGGAGGGTCCTAAGAAGCCTGGGGATTGGAGCCCATCTGGATTTGAATTTCAGTTCTACCTGCGTGAAGCCTTGGGCCAGTGCCTGACTCTTGCCAGTCTGGATCCTTCTCCTTACAGCTGTGAGGATCCCAGTGCCTGACCCTCTCTGAGCTCCAGATCCTCCTTCTGTTGGCACATGTGTGCCCCTCAGCACAGCGCTGACCCCTCCTGTGCCCTTGGCACCTCTACTGAAAGCGAGTCCCTGCCTAGAGGTTAGAGCGGAGCCGGTGGAGTCAGAGAGCCTGGGCTCCTGTGTCTGCCTGAATCTGACTGAACACTTGGTCTATGTAGGGCCACTGCTCAGGAGCAGGACATTCACAAGTTACCGAGGCAGGCCTCTAGTGTCACGAGCTGACATTCTAGAGGCAGGAGACAGATAATGAACAGAGTGGCACAGAAATCAACATGAAGAACTTGTTTAGCGGTCAGTGTCAGGAAGGAAATAAAATGGGCAACCTGATAGTGTGGGACAGGCAACGTGAAAGGGTGCTGGTTGAAAGAGGTGCTTCCAGGAGATGCCAGAGCTGAGGTCCGCCAAGTGAGGGGTCCAGGTATGCTGGGTACACAGGCCTGAGACATGAGGGGTTGGGGAGGCTGTCGGGGCAGGAGGGTGGCCCAGTAAGGTGTGGAGGGTGGCTGTAGGGCTGTGTCCTGGGGATGGGTGTGCCGGGAGAGGAGGTGCAGGAGGCCTGTAGTGAATACTCCACGACTGTTCTGGAGCCACGCTGGGGGCTGCTTGCCTGCTGCTCAGGGGGCGGCTGCGTGGATGTCAGCCCAGGCACTGGTAGCAGGAGGAGCCTTAATTTAGCCTCTGTTCCCCTCCCACAGCAAGCCCATAGGTAGGGCTTGTCTCCCCTTTTGGGGGGGCGTGCCCCACTTTGGCCCTAAGCAGAGCAGCTTCTTGCCAGCCATTTCTGCTTTATAGACAGGCCACCTTTACGACTAGCTGTCGTTGCCCCTCCTGGCTGTGACCTAGGCCCCTATAAACCCTTCATCCAGGCACGTGTCATCTCTTGACAACCTTGGCAGGAGAACTAGCTTATTGTTCCCACTGTGTGTTGGGGGCACTTGAGGCTCTGAGGAGCAGTGTCACCTGCCTGAGGTCACATGGACTGCCCTTACTGGCTCAGGCTGCCTCTTGAGTTGGGAGGGAGCTTGAGCTATTGGGACACAGCTATGAAAGGGAGTCACATTGTGATCTGGAGTCCTAGTTAAAATGCCAGTGTTTCAGGCTCCTGTGAGCGTTGGTGATTGACTGTATCTGTACTGTGTCTCCTCCCCCAAGAAAGCCTAAAGATGACAGTAACCACCAACTGTGGATCGATGCCCGCATGCCAGCGCTGGCCCGAGCTGCGCACTTCTTTTCATCTGGTCCCCTGTCAGCCCTGGGGTGGAGCTGTATCCATTTCTCAGATGAGGAAATGGGTTGGAGACTGGGAGATCGAGTCACTCGAAGGAATCTCCCAGCTGGCATCAGATTCAACTGAATACCCCTTCTAAAAGCCTGTGCTGGGCCTGATGGCGGGGCAAGCAGGCTAGCCCATGGGCCAGAAGTGTGGCTTCCTGCCCAAGGGCATAGGTATTCAGTTTGCTTGTGTGTTTTAAGGTGGGCACTTGATGGGTCTGGGTGGAGTGAGTCCCTCCCAGAAGGCTCATGTCTCATAGGTGCTGGAGACCGTGAGCACCCTGGGACGAGGGGTGAGTGCTGATGGTTTCTGCAGGAGGCTGCAAAGCTGTGTGAGGGTCCTGCCTGCCGCTGTGACCCTTTAGCCTTCCTTTCGGTTGCATGCCTTTCTCCACGGTGATTGTGTGTAAACATCAGGCTGCTCACAGAAACCCATTCTCTGTTGACTCATCTGCAAGGTCAGAGTTCATCACCCTTGAGGCAGTTTTGACATCACACAGCGATTGTGACATCTCTGGGGAGTCCTTGAAAAACAAGGCCACTTCTGCCGTTCTGTGTGGCTCTGGGTCAGAGCAGACCCTGTTTTGGGAATCTACTTCTCCATGACAGGAGCCCTGCCTCACCGCCTGGCAGGGCCCAGCTGGCAGTCCATGTTGTACCTTCAGGGTTTGGCCTTCCCCATTCCTTTGTTTTCAGGGCCTCGCTCCCTGTTTTTATGACTTTCTCCTTGGTCTGTGAGTTGCATAGTCTGAGATCTCATCTCCAGTGATATGTGACCACTCCCTGGTCACTCCAGAGCCCAGAGGGACACTTTTGAGAACAAGCCCTCCAAATGACCCCTGACCTGTATTGCAGTGAGTGACACAGACAATCATATCATATGGTTGTTCTGTCACTTTATTTTTTAACAAAAAAGCTGGTGTCCACAAACCATCCAGAGGAG